TTTTGATCTGACTCTATAACGAAAATTTAAAAAAATGCAATTTGTAGATCTCGCGTGCTGAAAATTTCATCGATATTGGTTGACCTTGACGGGAGCTGTAAGAAATTAAAGAACGCAAAAATTGCAGTTTTGTTCCGAATTTTGACACTTTCGGCCAATAAGTGTGAGAAATCTGCAGTTTTTTAAAATCTTTTGACGCTTGTAATTTGATTTTCCATTAGATACCAAGATCTACAAAATGCATTTTTTAAATTTTTGTTACAGGCTCAGATAAAAAGATTGGAAAATATGAGTTTTTTAATTTTTTTGTCATTTCGAGTAATCGCAAAATTTTAAAAAAAGTTCTGGAGTCATTGTTTAGTAGACTGGTCCCTCTATCATCTAAAAAGAAATTCAAGTCGTTTAGTCCAGTTTTAAAGAAGTTATAGTTTTTCATGTGGTCTTAAATATATGTCCGCTACTGTATACTGAGAAACTTGATTGTTAATGCCTTCTCCAATATTTATATTACATAAATGTAATATTATTGATACACTTCTGAAGTAACCTTGTGTCAGTTGTTCAATCATCCATTAAATTACATTTAACGGTTTATTAACTCTTATTAGCGCACTCCATTGTTTAAATTTCAATATCCGAATGGAAATTTATTGGAGGNATAAAATTAAAAAACTCAGGTTTTACAACTTTTTGATCTGACTCTATAACGAAAATTTAAAAAAATGCAATTTGTAGATCTCGCGTGCTGAAAATTTCATCGATATTGGTTGACCTTGACGGGAGCTGTAAGAAATTAAAGAACGCAAAAATTGCAGTTTTGTTCCGAATTTTGACACTTTCGGCCAATAAGTGTGAGAAATCTGCAGTTTTTTAAAATCTTTTGACGCTTGTAATTTGATTTTCCATTAGATACCAAGATCTACAAAATGCATTTTTTAAATTTTTGTTACAGGCTCAGATAAAAAGATTGGAAAATATGAGTTTTTTAATTTTTTTGTCATTTCGAGTAATCGCAAAATTTTAAAAAAAGTTCTGGAGTCATTGTTTAGTAGACTGGTCCCTCTATCATCTAAAAAGAAATTCAAGTCGTTTAGTCCAGTTTTAAAGAAGTTATAGTTTTTCATGTGGTCTTAAATATATGTCCGCTACTGTATACTGAGAAACTTGATTGTTAATGCCTTCTCCAATATTTATATTACATAAATGTAATATTATTGATACACTTCTGAAGTAACCTTGTGTCAGTTGTTCAATCATCCATTAAATTACATTTAACGGTTTATTAACTCTTATTAGCGCACTCCATTGTTTAAATTTCAATATCCGAATGGAAATTTATTGGAGGATGCTGAATTGTTTGAAAAGTTTGCCATATACGCTTCAATGAAACGGGGAATGAAATAGGGAACGCAGATATTGTTTGAACTCTATTATCTTGTGCAAAGCACAACATGAAGCAGTATTTAGAATTAATATTGATCTGTAATAAAACGTTCCAATACTCATGATTGAAGTCCTATGTAGATATATTTTGATTGAAAACATGTCAATATTATACTGGGTTGAACACGATGTATTATACTTAAATCTCCAATTTAAATGATGCGAAAACATGGGAGAAATGAATTCTGTTATAAACATGCAGTTTATTAATAGCCATTTTTTAAATTTCTGTTCTGTATTCCGAAAGCTGCTAATAACAATTTCACTAATANCGAATTTCCTTTAAAATTCAACGAAGCTCTAGCATCGTATTTCATTACGTATTAGTCGTTATAGTATGATATGTAATATTTGATCTTCATATACATTTATC